CCCCTCAGATTCCAACTCCTACCCGCCACAAGTTCTCATCGACTCTGGGATCTTTACACAACATTCCTGGCACTAGTTACAAATGTGAGGCAGCGTGGTGGAATCAGGCTCTCGTCAAAATAATCAAAGTGAAGAAACTTGCATTTTCCCGCAGGTTTGTGAATTTTTTATCAATTTTATGTTTTTTGGCTCAACACCTTTCATGACCATTTAAGAATTCATTTCTGTGTGGATTTTTCTGAAAAACGTTGATTAAAGGCACAAAAAATGTAAATTTTCAGTTACCACGGACTGTTAAGCTAAGGAAATAACTAATCTTTGGTGGCCATTTTCTCACTAATTTTACCTCTGAAAACAACTGACCCCACCTCCTTCACTTGCAAATATCTCGACTTGTATTTAAAGTAAATGGATTTTTTTTCATCCAAATAAAGACAAATGAACAAGCTTTAAGATGATACCAATAACTTTACATGCTCAAAAATTGACGAGAGCCTGATGCCACCACGCTGCCTTACAAATGACACACTGCACACCGCGTGGAATTTTTTCCCCGAGAGCTCTGTTTTTGTCTCTCATGTTGACCATTTCCTTTTAGGAGAACATTTTGAATGTGCGACGTGAGTGACTCAGTGGCCCGTGTGTCGTGTGACTTTTTGATTGACTGGTTGATTGATTGATTGAGTAGGTGTTTTACGGCACTATAAATCGACTCAATTTCAGTCACGTAAGTGCCAACAAGTTTTATAGTCACAAATCTATCACCACGTTAAAAGGGCGGACAGACATATTATATAAATATCTTTGTGAATAATCATATGGTAAAAACTATTTACATGCGTATTTACAATTTCAATTTCAGTGTATATATACACCGACAATCACAACTATGTATATCCATATCCAATTTCCTTTATGAAACTCGAAATCCTCTTTGGACTAAAGATGTCCAAAAACAGTCTGGGTGTTTCTACGTTTTACATTTTCCCGCGTACATGGTGGGTGACAATGGACACTTTCTGTCAGACCGGGCCCAACTTTGTGAAACCTGTTTTTGTTTTTTGTTTTAGTAAGAGTTTTACGGCACTTGCAATACAATAAGGTCATATACGTGCCGAAGATTAGAGGTGTTACAAGAGAGTAACAAACACAAAAAAGGAGGAGGGGAGATAAGGACGACAGATGTTTTGATAGGAAAGAAGAAGCAAACCACAACAGAGCACCCACCGACCACCCACGAGATAGAAACTCATGCACGGCTAATCTGTGTTAGGGCATACCAAAGAGATGTTGGTATAATATTACAATGTGTTTTTTTGTCTTACTTGTAGCTTTAGTAAGGTTTTACGGCGTTTGCAACTGCATAAGGTCATATGAGCGCCAAGGGATGGATGTCAACAGAGAAGTCTAAACGGGTAATCAGACTTACTCTGCTCACCTCTCTAGCTTCAACAGCACAAAGTCTGCTTCGACTATCAAGACACTCCCGAAATAGCAGTTCACAAGAGTGTGACAAACATACAAAAGAAGTAGAGGAGAAATGACGATAGTTTAGGATTAGGGGGAAAAAAATCAGCAGTTGTCTTACTTTTGAAGAATAAAATACCCATGTGTCTGGAATAGAAGTCGAGATATTTGAGACTGGAGGAGGTGGGGGTTGCCTGGGGTCAGGTGTAACATTAGCGAGAACATAGAGCGTCCTTGGAAACAGCGAATTGACATTGTCTGTGCCTTTGATTTACGTTCTTTTTCTTCAGCCTACAAGGAACTAAAATCAATGAAAATTTCCCAGACGGACGGATAAATGTCGCTTTCTTTAATTTCATTATTGTTCATTTCCCCAGGTGGATCAGGGTGTGTGCCAGTTACCGTGACGTAGGGTAGGGGTCTCTGTCTCACGTCTTGTCAAAGTCAAACTGATAGTAGTGACGGATATATCAGACCTTTAGTAAACAATACATTATCAAGTTTTACTGTCGGACTCACACACAGTTGCGCCCCTTTTAACGTTTCAACAACCACTTGAATTCGCAGACTTCTCGAAAATCACAAAAATCACGAATCCAAGTCACGCGCGGAAAAAAACACCCCGGTACCCAGTATATCACTCTGGATTTTTCAGATACAGCCAGCCGGGATTGTCCTACCTTTATAATATGCGTCCGTCTTCTATATATCCTCTTATCGGAAATGGACACAAATACAAACTTTCAAACTCCAAGCTCATTTCCTAAATTTGTGACTGCAATTATTAGTCAAATTAAAACTAAGTGAACAACTCAGAATGCCAAAGGAACCGCTCCCATTTCGCCCATGTTGACAGAGAGAATGGACAAGGGGGGCAACTTTGCACGACTTGGACAAATAGTCCACCCTTTTTGTCGGTTACATACCTTGGACTGGTTCAGGCGCCAAAGTTGGGCCAGGTCCATTTGGCGGGCTTTGATTGGTCGGGGAAGAAAGCTGTGTAGACATTTGGGGATCTGGTTCTGTTTCTTGAGTTTTGATTGGTGGTCATTAGAGGAGAGACAGACGGGAAGTTGTAATGGAGATCGGAAGTTGGTTCATTGTGTGTGTGCACGAGTGTGTGTGTGTGAGTGTATTTATGTTTGCATGTGTGTGTGTGTGTGTGTGTGTGTGTG